GGTACCATCTCGCACTCCGACATCGCCGCGCTCCACAACGCACTGGACATGGGCTTCTTATGATCTGCTGCTGCCCTGGTACCATCTCGCAACACCCACGAGTGCTTCAAATGATTTGCTGTTATCCTGGTACTTGGATATTGTACAATATACATTGTAGGCTTATTTATTTCACAATCCCTCTGTCTTATATACTCTGTAATTTGTTGGTATTCTTTTTCTTCTTCTGTTCAATACGAACATAAATGTCCCCTATGTCATATCCTCCTGAGAATCTTTTACCTCCTACAAATCTCTGCTATCCTGGTACTCATTATTTAAAAATATTTCTATTTAAAAGTCAGACAGTAGTTATTTTCATATTATCTCGTTTAGTTAATAATTAAGTTCCATTTATAAGTACATTTTTCGTGTTTATTTCAATCATAAAACGATGTATTTTGTTAATAAAAACATACAAAATAACTTATAAAATATTATTTAGTTTTAAAAGCTCAAAGTCAGCTCAAAACATACGAAAAAAAAATTAGAATTTTTTGTAAATAATAATAGCTCATATCGTAATTTCATTCCTACTAAATAGTTTATTGTAAATATTTTAGGTGATTTTGGCGGAAATAATGTGTGTCTATAAAAAACACAACTTTTCAACTATTTAAATGTTACAATTTTTATTTTTTATTATATTATACAAAAGTAAACACGAATATCAAATTATAAATAAATCCATTTAGTTTAATTTGTAATAAAATAAACATTTTAATTATTATTTTTAATCAAATATAATATGTTCCTGACTAACAGCACAATTACTTTTTTACACAATAAAAAATAACTGGTTAATTATCTAATATGCTTAGAAAAACGGCTATAGTTGAAATAACGGTTACAATTTATTTTATCTGCGCTTACAAATATTTTTAATCTTTACTGCTTTTAAAATAAGGCTGATTTTCGTGTTTTGATACATTGTTATTGTCTTAATTCTAATCAAAGAGTAAATTAAACGGTTATAACTTTTTTTTTAATTGGCCACAAATATTGATGTATTTGAAGTTAGCTAAAGGTACAGCTATCTCTGTCACACTTATTGAAATGTATACGTTGTCTCGCTTACTCGTAAAGATGCAATATTGCAGCTGTTTCATGTTTAATATTTGTGGTCGTCAGTAAATGTTCCTTAGGAAATGTCTAAATATCTCTTTAGATTGTCTGAAAATGTACATAATATTACACTTTCAAAATTATAGACGAAATTGTAAATGGAAAGTAGCAATATTTTTATTTTAAATTAGTTAAAATTGTTTTAAACGAATTGGTAATGTAAATACAGATGTAGGAATTAGTTTAAATTGCTACGTGGCGGAAAGATTTTGCGATAATTGCGGCTAATTGTAAATAAAAATATATATTATATTATTTGATCATTTACTTGTGTTTTATTTTTTTAATCCTATAACCAATGACAGACTTTTATAAACCTACTTTCGCCCGCGACTCCATCCGCGTGGAATTAACAAAACAAAACAGTACAAAACAGTAGCCAATGTGTTCTTACAGACTATCCTCTACATCTATACCAAATTACATTGAGATCCGTTCAGTAGCTTAGGATGCCAACTCTAACTTCCATCCATCTAATCTTTCGCAAGTAGATAGTAAGATAGAGATTTCATCTAATTACTTTTGTTGTACGTCACCAAACTTGATATGATGGTCGATGTCTGCAATGTCTCTGCATGCGGCCGAGGGCAGCCAGCTCAGCACCGCGTTCTTCCCGTACTGCTCCAGGTCGGAGACGCCTTGCGAGGACACCAGCGCGCCGTCGCCGCGCACCACCAGCAGCTGCGGCAGACACGTCACCTCGTGCATGTACCGCAGCTCCAGCACCAGGGGGTCAGCGACGCGCAGAGTGAGCCAGTCCGGCTGCTCGCGGTACGCGGCCGCCGCCTCCTGCGCCGTCTCGTCCATGGGCACGTAGATGACCTCCAGCGGCAGGTGCAGGTCGCTGATGTCGCGGTAGATGCGGCAGAAGCGAGCGATGATGCCGTCTCTGTCGACGCCGCGCGATGTGAAGAGGAGGGCGATAGCGGGCGCGCTGCGCAGGCGGGCTGCGGGCACGCGCTCGCCGCGCTTGTTGTACACCGCCGCCTTCTCCACCCAGTTGTATGGAGCGCACACTGCTTCTGTGTCTATACTCGCTGACATATTTGGTTCATTTATTAACTATGATTGTGGATATCTAATAAATCTATTTTAAACACTTAAAAGTTTAATGCAAAAAAATGTTTTATTTATGTGTATATTATAACGTTTATTGTCATTGTCATTTGTCAACATATAGATTAACGTAATCAAGACAATTTTATTTTTACAGTAGGAAAATCCAGTATTCCTAACACTGGCAACAATCTTTGTTTTGGTAACCGTTGCTAGGCAACTGTAATGCTGACAAAGTGTAAACAATAAAGATTTTAGTAAATAAATTCCTTATAAATAGAAATAAAGTACTTTTAAGATGAAGTCAGTAGTAAATACGATATTATTCGACGTGTCTAAGAACGAAATGTTTAAAATAAACGAAAACTATAAAATGCTGCATCGCAAACTGAAGACAACATGGAAGGTTATGATGTTAGTACATTTTTTTTAATTTGAAACTAAATTCACAACTTCATTTTATTTATTTGCGATATCTAAGAAACAGTTTAAGCAATTGTCGCCTTTACAAAGCTAAAAAAAGATTTCATTTTAGTTTTACAACTAAATTAAAAAAAAAACACTATTTTTTTAATGCACGCTAAAAATTATTTTATCCCAACTCGATTCTATTAAATAATTCTAGTCATATGTGGTTAAAAGAAGATAATTCCAGCAATCGTGAAGAACTAACACAGAACATTTTAGAAGACGTCCAGATCCTCGTGGTACCAGGGCCGCAGAACGTGTTCACAGATGACGAACTCGCGTGCCTCAAGAGTGTGGTCGAGAGGGGGGATTCCGTTCTTGTGATGATGACAGATGGGGGAGAGGAACGTATGAACACTAATATTAACTTCTTTCTAGAAGAATATGGTATTGTTGTTAACAATGGTAAGTCATACTATAGTCATAATAATATCATTATTATTCTTAGATACGTTAATTGAGTGCTTAGTGTAGATTTGTCATTACTAAATCTATGTTTTGAGGCTTTTTAAATTAGAGTTTTAATTGAACGACTTTTCAGACTGCGTGGTTCGCGCTAAATACCACAAGTTCTACCACCCAAAGGAGTGTCATATTTCTAATGGCATCCTGAACCGTGGTGTCATGAAATACATCATGAAAATGCCAAACTATAGCGTTGAGAGCGACGACTTTTTGTGAGTAATGCATTTTTTTATCCAATTTTCTTTTAAAAATTCATATTAACAATAATATCACGGATATTGGAAGATAACTGCTGTATCTATTAGTTTCCCTTCGTAAATATAACACTAAGGGTCTTTTTAAATTGCAATTATGTCAATTACTAACAGAGAAG